TAGAAAATCAAACCAACATTGTTCCATCTACTGAACTTCCAGAAAATATAAATTTAACTCCAAGAACGAGAGAATATTACCCAGGTGACAAAAGGTTCAAGGTGATACAGAAAAATATTGAACATCATAACAAGAAAGCTAAATACAACAACATTAAACATGCAATCATAGCAGGAGCTACAGAAGTCATCAACACAGCACTAGAGAGTGGTTCCAATCAACTTATCTAAACAGGCTCGCGTTGATATTAGTTGTCGAAAAGTCAGACTTAATAAGATGCAGAGTCCAAGGAAGACGCAAGCTACAAAGTGGATAACTTTATAAATGAAGTCTAATATCTTGCAAGAACTAAAGTTTCAGGGTTTTTTTCCCCCTTTTGATCTACAAAATTAGCACCTTCTAAAACAAATCCACAAAAAAATTGAAGAATTTCAACACCTTTTTTTTTTTTTTTGAAAGAAGCCTAAAGTGACAGGTCAAAATTTAATTTAAATTAGTAAGCCAAAATATAAAGAGAAGACATAGGTACGTTGGCTAGCTAGCATGTAAAATTTTTATGTTGTTTTGGTATTGTATTACAGGTTGTTGTTAAGATATGCATACGCCATTTTAGGGGCAAGAAAACGCCAACAAAAGTATAAGAAATCCCAGAAAAACAAAAACCTAGCAAAATAATCACATATACATTCGATTTCTAAAGCTATTATGCAGACGATAAATATATAATTACAAATGTGAATCTGTTCACAATATAAATTTAAAAATCGAAATACATAGAATAGTCGAGAAATCAACAGGAAGTTTTAAAGGAAAAATATACAAAGGTCTTTTACAAATCACTATGAAAGAATAACAAAATTAGTATCAAATGAATATTTTTGAAGAAATTGTGCCTGAATCACGTAGAAGGAAGTGCCTTTACCAAAAGATTACACAATTTCCCTACATTACAAGAACGTAAAAGTTAGTGTTTATCTTAATTTTTTAAACTCGATTTTTGTCTTAACACATATTTTCCACTAAATTATTTTACTGAAGTCTGTATAAATTTAATGTAAAAATTCAGATTGTTAACATCAAAGACAAAGGAACCTTCAAAGGCTATTTTTTGTTATAAAAAGTCACTACCACAAAAATTAGCAATGTAACTTTGATGATATATCCATACAAGCAAAAGCAATTGTAATTCGGTATTTTCTCTTTTTCGTTGAATTTTAAGTATACGAATATTTAAAAGAGTCATTATGGATAAATCCTCTTATGTTTTTTTTTTAAAAAAAATTTGTGTGTATAAAATAATAATGTTAGGCACTATATACAAATTAAGGGCTTGTCACTAGAAATAGAAAGAAACTTAACAGAAATGATCCCTAACCCCTAGCTTTCATTTTCTTCAACCTAACTTTTTAAATTTTATCGAGTGAATTTTTTTGCCATCCTACCATTAGTTTGGATGCAAACTAAATAATCACAAACAACTCTAGACCCCACTTGATTTGACCACACATGCAAGTTATAGTCTCTGCATCTTTCAAAAAAGAAGGCATTACCTGTTAGCACTCATACTTCAAAATAACCAGACAATACCACCCCCTCTTAATAATTATCATACAAAAGTAGGAAATATTCCACATACATGGAATTCATGTGCGAAATTCAATTGGTCTATAGCATGCTAATTGAACTGTTTTTAAGCGTTACATTTCCATGGTACAAGGGGTTAAGTATTTAGTTTTTTTATTCCAGATGGTGTAATATAGTGCATTATAGTTTATTTGGATTTACCGTAATTAGGCTATAAAAAATAATGTTGTCTCAACATCTATATAGCAAACAGAAAATGTGTATACATTTGCTCCAAAATCATACTACAAAACAACCTCAAGTACTTTCGAAATGCATCTAGCACGAATATTGAACAGATACACCTAATCCTACATTGTAAGAAGAGTATGCCACAGCAACGTTCAAATATTTTGTACTATTACGTAACATCCTAACCTCAATTTGCTTACCCTTTCCGATATCATCTTTTTTATAAGACATTATTTCCACATCATCATCCTCTCATTGACGTAATGTCAATAATTTCCATTCTCCGCTCAATGTTCATAGGTTGTTGTTGTGTATACCTTTGATAGATTATTTCCATTCCACCATCTTTCATGTCAAAGGTCGACACACTGGCACATTATTATCAAAATCCAACCACTTTCCTCTTTCCCGTCATTAAAATCAAAGTCCCATTTGTTCTGATCATTCACATGAAGAAGACATGAATCCACTACAAAACTATGAGAAACCTCATTCCCAACAAAGAAATCATTTTGATTCATTGCTCCAACACCTACTTCTCCATTTTTAATAGCATACTCTCTTTTCCACCACCCATTATCTCAAAACTCCAATAATTTTCATCAATCCCATCAAAACACCTAACCTTCTTAAATCCCAACATTTCATTTCCCCTTCAGAATTTCACTTACTTTCTTCATCTCAATCAAATAAATTGAGAACTAAACTAAAACTCTATCAAGAATTAGGAATTTTCTTTAAATAAAAAAAAATCATGGGAAGAAACCTCTACATTAGAAAATATTTTCTAAACCCAACTTTTCATTTCCTATGTAAAGAATCATGCATGAATTAAACTTAGATAAATCAATTAATTGTTAAATAAATATAATTTATAGAATGAATATTTAATCTTCAAGACATCCAAACGGCTTAAGATTTTCTAAACATGAATGAAAATATATGTATAATAATATGGGAGCATACGAATGCAAAAATATGCAAGATGATGAAGAAAAAATTCGTGTGAAATGAGTTTCAAGTCTGAAAAATTGAATGACTGATACAAAAAACTTTTGGGCTCATCAACAGTAACTACCGGCCCATCAAAATTGTCAGACCAGTTCCAAAAGGTTAAGTGTCAAAACTTGGAACTCAACTATAAACAGTAACTATTGGTAAGTGTCTTTTAAGGTATAGGGATATCACACTCTCTTTTTCACCACACATTGTCTCAAAACTCCAGTAATTTTCTTCAATCTCATCCAAACACCTAACCTTCTTAAATCCCAACATTTCATTTTCCCTTCAGAATTTCACTTACTTTCTTCATCTCAATCAAATAAATTGAGAACTAAACTAAAACTCTTCCAAAAATTAGGAATTTTCTTTAAATAAAAAAAATCATGGGAAGAAACCTCTACATTAGAAAATATTTCTTAAACGAAACTTTTCATTTCCTATGTAAAGAATCATGCATGAATTAAACTTAGATAAATCAATTAATTGTTAGATAAATATAATTCATAGAATGAATATTTAATCTTCGAAACATCCAAATGGCTTAAGATTTTCTAAACATGAGTGAAAACATATGTGTAATAATCTGGGAGCATACCAAAAATATGCAAGATGATGAAGAAAAAATTCGTGTGAAATGAGTTTCAAGTCTGAAAAATTGAATGATTGATACAAAAAACTTTTGGGTTCATCAACTACTAACGACCCATCGAAATTGCCAAACCAGTTCCAAAAAGTTAAGTACGAAAACGTGAAACTCAACTACGAACAGTAACTATTGGTAAGTGTCTTTTAAGTTATAGGGAGATAATAACATGACAAACATCTAGACCATAGACCCTGTCCAGAAGATAAACATCAATTTTAAAAGGTTTGGAAAGCTTCTAACACCAGGGATTCTAAAGAATTATAGTAAAGGCCATATTTTTTAAACATATCTAATCCACATAATAGTAAAATAAATTTGAACTCTTTTGTTGGATTTCCGTCTAATTATTAGATGAAGTTTTTTCCCAAAAAATTATACCTCCTATCTTAAACACATAAAAGAATGCAGTGATGTTGCATTTTTTTTTTTTAACTTTAAAAATACGAGGAGACAAAATATGAACTAACGAAACCAATTTATCCAATAAGAGAATAAATTAACAACTAAACCAGGATTTCGTTCATCCCTATTCTTTCCATTATGTATGAAAATTCATTTTGAATTAAATAATCATAAAAACCCTACTTTAATGACAAAAACAATCAAAACCCATTTCACATCAGCCTAAAAATCAAATTATTCCTTACCAAAAAACTAAAAACGAAACAAAGAAAAATAATGGGGAAAAAAACCTTGGGCTTAAGATCGAAGTCAACGTTGAATTTCTAGTCCCCAGCTTGAGCTCAAAATCCTAGACTTCAGTTCTTTAATTGGTTTAGTTTATAATCTCCGCTGGGATTTGCCTTTCTTCTTCCATTAGGGCTTCGTTTGGTTTTGGAGAGAGAGAAATGAGTTAATATCAAATGAGAAGAGTTAACTCAGCAGCCCGTATGGAGTGAGAGAGAGAGAGAAAGTAGTCTTTATACTTTAGACATTTAATGAATAGTAGTAAACTGGATAATGAACAGTGCTGCCCACTTAA